GAAATAAATAGCATTCACTATGAAAAATACCGTGGATTTACTCAAACCACTTATGAGCTGTTTGATTTTTCCATGGGTCTCCTCCTCTACGAAATTATTTATTTGTTCCACAATTTGAGCAGAATTATTCTCAAAATCAACTTCTTCGATGTATGCGCGGAAAAGATTTTGTACTTGTTCTTTGTAGTTGGGATTTACATTGAAGTTTTCTGCTAACAGCAATTCATTCGCAAGACTCAAGATGTATTCTGGATTGGGTGATTGGTTTTCGGGTATAACTATGTTGAGGAATCGGTTGAAGGCTAAAGGAACCTCGCTGCTTTTTAGATGAGCTGAATCGTATCCTAACACAGATCTGAGTTGCTAAAAAAAGAATTTATATTTAAGAGAAACGAAAATTGTTTTAGAGTATTTAAATTTAAAGATGGTTTTTCACAGAAGTTGGAAAAATTATGGGAAAACTTCTATACTAACTTATTTTTTCATTTTTCTCAAGAAATATTTAGAGAAGTATTTTATAAATTTAGAAGTGTGTTGACCATGTGGTTTCACTGACATATCAATGAAGTTTACAGACGTTAGTGGTTTCAGGGACCGTGAAAAAATTGCGAACGAAAAATAATGTTTTAGAATGCCCTATAAGCTTGTAGCAATAAGCTTGTAAATTGTATAAATGATTTTGGTTATAATATGCAATAACTTGGTTATAATAAATATTTGCATAAAAAACTAATTTTTTTGCCTTCATTTTCTTACTATAACTGAAGAAATATTTGTTAAAATTTAACAAATTTTTAGAATAATTTTTAATTAATAAAAAAAATTTATGTTGGAATTTAAAAAAAAATTCGTTCAAAATTAAGCGAGATATGAATTTTAAGACTATTCCTTTCATTCTACGTAAGTGGGGAAATAGTAAAAAAATTTTCTTTTATATCTTTGTTCGGAATCGTATTTCATAACTTAGGAAATTTATTTTACAGTAATAGTTGTTTAACTGCAGTGATTTTACAATAAATGTTTTTTGTAAAAACTACAGCATATCAGTTTATTTGTTTCGTGAAATTTCACGGCAAAACTTTTAGCAACTTGGGTTCCGGTTATTTTCTATTATGAAATTTTGCGAAACAAAAAATCTGATATGCCACAATTTTTTTGTAATTGTAATTTGATCCGGAATTGTTTGAAGTGTAGGCGTCTGGGTAAAACTCTGATTATCTCCTGCAGTAGAAAAGGTCGCGTGGAAATACAGTATAAATAGAATTAATTTCGTCTTTATTATGTGACTACGTATACTTTGCAATTCCCTCTAACAGATCCGAATAGCATTTATGGCCCCATGTTTCTATGTAATATTTCATTTATTCATTTTTGTACGCCAAACTCGCTCATTCATTTTGGGCCACGAATTTTTGAAGTATCGTGTGTAGGAAAAAAGTAACGCTTATTAATTTGTTGAAACTGGTGTCCTTTTTTCTGCTAAGAAAATTCTTAATTTATAAGGATTTATTTATACTATTATATGTTTGAGATAAAGCATGAAAGCCCAAATTATCTGCAGATTAACTATTGAGATTCGTTGAGGTGCAAGATCAAAAGTTTTTGCATAAATAATTAATGTTCTAACGACTTTCACACCGTTAAGGTTCACATCTTTTGCAAAGATCTTATTACCACTTTAAAGAATGCTTAATAGGCAATCTGCAGCTTAACGAATGCGTAGTAAGTCATGCGCAGATTATCTAGGTAATTTTGAGATTACTTAGGTATTTTGAAAATAAAATAATCTTCAGTACTTCAATGAATTACCTTAGTAACTCTGCACCTTACTTAGATAACCAGTGGATTAACAGATATCTGCACTTTACCGTTAACAATATAATGAGAAAAACGAACAAAAAAACATTTCATTGGTGATCCTCAAGTCGCATAACATTAAAAATAAATCTAATTCGAAAATGATTGGATAAAATAAAAGGAAATCTAGCAGTTTGTTGTAACAGATAATGCTAATTACCTTTGCCGTGTTTCCTTTGGCTCCAGCGTAAAGTATACCGAAAGCGGTAGATATGCTAAGAGGAGAGAAAAACACATTTCCAGAGCTTCCTTTGACTAGATTATGGTAAAGCTTGAGCCCTAGATAATTATTGGCTATAGCTAATTTATTTAAATTATCACTGCAACCTCTTTTTGGAGAGCTCATAACTACGTTGAATGCAATTATAAGAGAAAATAATATCAAAACTTTGTGAGACATCGCTCAAAATACTCTGAAAGTAAAAAATAAAAATTATAATTATTTATATGTATAGATTTATTTTATGATGACAAATATTATTCTTTTAAAATATATAGTGTTGCAAATCAAGATGTTTAAAAAATAACAAAATACATTAAAAATTTTAATTCAGTAATATGTTTTGATTAATATACTTAAATAGTTGCGACACTTATACTAATTAAGTCAATAAAATTATTAGGAAAAAATAATTTAATAATCATGTACACTGTAAAAAATTCTGAATCCAAATACAGTATAAAGTGCGTCACTTTGCGTGTATCATTCGTAAATTTTTTTTTACCGCAAAGTCCATTTTTACCGTTAAATATTATACCTTAATATTTTGATAATAATATTTATTTAATTAGAGTGAGTAAGTCATTTTTCGGTAATTTGTACTGTAAAATTCACAATATATCAGATTTTTTGTTCCGTAACATGTTCCAGAAGAAATGGATTTTACGTCAAAAAGTATCGGCTCTTTAAGTGCCAGTACTTTTTACCATATTTTTTTACCTTGTAGTAGTTGGAATGTTAATATTTAGCTAAACTGATTACCCCATTATTTTTTATTTTACTTAGTTTTAGCTAGATGTTACGAAATAATATTTTTAAAATTTTTTATTTATTTATTAAATTAGTTATTGAAGTAGTTTATAAAAGTCAAATTTTAAGAACTAGATTAGAACAAGACAAGTGTAGAACTAGTTGGCTAGACTGGAAGTGCTGATGCTCATTAGCAAAATGAGATTCTACTGAGGGATTCAAAATTTCATAGTTGCAGTTAATATTGTTTGTCGCATAATCTAATAAATGAAAAATTGTAATAGGAAATAAAAAATAAATTCGCTTACCTTTAAATCAAGAAAGTTTAAAATGATAAAATTTGAACACTTTTTACTGAAACTACTTGCTGTAATTGAAAATAATAATTTTATAAAATGCATCGAGTCATTATAAATGTTTTTCAAATGAATTCATAATTTTTGTTATATTTTGGACAAACATTTGCACACGAATTTTAATAGTAAATGAAGTAGTATAGTAAACTTAATAATATAGTAAATAAATTCGTTTATATTTTAATCAAAAAATTTAACAAAATTGGTAAAATTTATACTTTAAACACAAACTACTTGTTTTAGTTGAGAATATAAATTTTATAAAATGCGTTGAATTTTTATTAGATCTATCCAAAGGTATTAATTAATTTCTATTTTTTTTTCATAAATATTTGCAATTTTAATAGTAAATGAAATAATATAGTAAATTTAATAAAATAGTATATGAATAATTGTAGCATGCAATATAAAATTATATTCCCTTATATTTAAATCAAAAAATGTTGAAAGCTCAAACTTTTATAGCAAATTATTTGCTTTAGTTTAGAACATAAATTTAAAAAATTGCATCGAGTCATTATAACTGCTATTCAAATAAATTCATAAGTTTCTTCTGTTTTTTTTTTCTTTTCACAAGCATTTACACAATAAATTCAAATAGCGTAGGAATTATAGTATTTTAGATATTAAGACAAGTCTCACCTTTTTCAATTAAGCCTCCTATTTCAAAGTCAGTTATTGTCATGAAAGTCCTCTGCTACACTGTGTGATTGCTTTTATAATAGCTTTGCAAGCAAAGTATTAAGATTTCAGCTGCTTGAGAGGAAAAATAAATCTTCCCTGATTAAGAATTTTCCCTTATCAGTTAAATCTGACAGCTCAATTTTCTGCATCCATTTCACTCGTAATGTATGTATTACTCACCTGTTTTTCGATTCCGTAATTCCGTTTGATTCTTTTATAGATATCATGTAATGTTTGCATTCAAAATCAGCTTGTTTCAGATACTACATTTTAATGAATAATTTTAGTAAACTTCATTAAGCAAACTTTTGTTAAGATATCAATGTTAAGAAAAGAATTTTTTAAGATAAAATCTCTAATATTTCCATTATAGACTTTGTTTTATCATAGATTTATTCGAATAATTGCCTTCAATATGAACAAACAATATTCTCAATAAATCACTATTTAATTGGATTCCTATTTAAGCAGATCTTAGCTAGACTTGCAAAAAAAAAAATCAAATTTTGCTTTCCATATTTCAGAAGAGCTTAAAAATTACATTTATGGAAATTTAAGTTATCGTGATAAATATTTTGACTCTGTAATTAATAAGTAAATAATAAAATAAATGAAAGTTTTTTATCGTGTATGCGATCATCGAAGTTCTCGGTCCAAGTCCTTGGATGATAATAGGACATGTTCTACATGGGAAATTTTTCAAGAATGATTTAAAATATTATCGTAACAAGATTGCCAGATTACAAAATATGAAAACAGAAGTCCAAATTGAGGTAAAAGCGCACCTCAGCGTTTTACTGCAGTACTGAAGTGCGTTTAATTTATTAGTTACCAAGGATAGGCCCGAAAATTTATTTGCACAAGGTAATATTATTCTAGATAATTTAAAGAAGTTGAAAATGAATAATTTAAGAAAATTAACACTTCTATTTAAGAAGAAAAAAGAAGAGAGAGAGGGGAGAGAGAGCTAAATAATTAAAGCCAGAACTTTATCAGGCATAGAATTCGATGAACGGACACCACTAGTTACTGTATTTGCGAAAGACTGGGGAGAGCTGGATTCAGGTCACCGGATTTTTGAGTTCTGAATGTGAGAGGTGTATTAAATTCACGATCGGAATCCTTCCTGTGTTGCCTTTAGCAGTCGAGTGTATGCACGCTGACGTTGTGTATGATGGAGACGAGACTGAGCAGCAACATCGCGAGGAGGTGGATAATGTCGCAGTCACAAGTTGCAGGTCAACTGTTCAATGTGGATCATCCATCAAAGTGGGCGTTACTAGATCAAAGTGGGCGTTACTGTCAAGATAGGCCAACCTTCATCTATCAAGAGGTACCTCTTGATTAAATCAAGTTAGAAAGTCTTATATACCAGTGAATTGATGTTTAATAATCATAGTGGTAGTTACGCCACGTAAGAAAAGTAGGCACAAAAGCTTACTTGAAACAAAAAAACTAATCACCAAATTACACTTTTGACTGCGACACAACTAAATTGAAATAAACATTAAAACAACACCCCCTAACTTGAGCAGAAAAAAGAAAAAAAAATATAGAAAAAAAGAGCCAGAAAATAGTGACATCATTAATAGAAATGCTTGACCAGGGCAACTCGATCAAGACTTGCATCTTGCCCTATTAAAAAAAAACGAAACTAATAATTCTCAATCGTTTTCTTAATTTCAAAATCGGTATTGGTCCTCGTTAAACTGCTCTACCGGAAAGTCCTCGACTTCGCGTGCAGGTCTTCAGGCTACCAAAGCGGGGGTGCCATCCCCTCTGCAGAGGATTAAAATTGTGATGGCATGTCTTTGGATCATCCTCAGGGATGTTTCCCAGGCCGTCGCCAATAGCCCATTGTGCAGCTCTAGTGCGACGTAAATGAACAACAACGGCAGCATGTTGTTGTACGCTTCCGTACATTAAATTTGATGTTTCTGCGCATGCTCCAATTTTTGTCGATCTTTCTTATCTCTAAAGAATTATATTTTTAAAAATATTTTACTCTTAAAAAGCTTTGTAGGTGGAATAATTGGAATTGTATTTAAGAAGATAAAGTTGTATGGAAAAAAAAAGTGAAATATAAGGAAGAAAACACTGAAATATGGATAGATAAAAAATAGCACAATATTGTTTATTAAGATATTTGGTTACATTTCATGTTGTGTCACTACTTCGTAGTTTCAACACAATTAAAAATTACTGACTCGACCAAAAAACAATGCCAAATAATTTCTCTTATCAAAAATTGTAAACAAGAAAGGATGATCAGCAACAAATACCGGATCTCTATGCACAGTGCGTGGTCCGATTACTATGACAGTGGAGGCTGCAGCTTCACTTCCTTCTTCATTTACTTCTATAGCTGCTTTGTGCAACACTTGCGTGACAGCCAGACCTGTCACCTGCGTTATACCAGAGAAATCAGCCAATCTATTATCAAATATATCTTTGGCTCCAAGAGCTTTGAAATCTGAAGTCACCTCGCGTGAGTATTCAATTTTGAATTTAGGCAATGATAGATTAAGTGTGGTGTTTTGAAGCAATAAATGAAAATTCTTGATGTCTCTTGCAGCGAATCTGTTACCAATGTCTTCAAGTCCATTCAAACTTTTTGGCAGTAAAATCATCATACTTATGTCTTTCCCTTTGTAAGGTAACTCTACTACTTGATAATCATCCGTTTCGAAGTATGGAAATTTTGATTTAATATGCATGAATGGAACGCTTCTGTAATAAAAACACAGTGAACCTCAAATTATTATGAAAAAAATGTGGAACAGTGAATAAAAAACAAGAAAAGTAATTTTTTCGATTTTTTACAAAAAATTAATTTAAAATAAAGAGAGAAAGTTTTTATATATCTAGTTCTGACGCATTTTTACTAAAAATTCAAAACATTCTAACTTTGATTTGATACTAATTGAAAAAGTTCATGTAATTTATTATCAATCTAACAAAGCAAATTTTTCTACTTCGCAATTATAAATTATACAATTTAGTTAAAAAAAAGAACTATACAATTTAGTTAAAAAAAGAACAAGGCAATAGAAGTTTAATTATATTTTTTTAAATATAATTATTAATAATAATCTGCATTCTTCATCGCTGAATTGATCAAAATCTGTAATCTACCAAATTTTCCTGCTCACTGATACACAGTTTTTACGTAGAGAAAAGTATCTTGAATATGCCACGGCTTTAACGAAACAGTCTACATCCATTGTAAATATTTGTTTTGACTTCATGGTCAAAGTTAAAATGATATACCACTACTTTTTAATTTTCGAACTTTTGCAAAATTTCTTATTTTAACAAACGTAAGTTAGATATTTTTTCATGGCAGCATGTGCATTTCACCAGAACTGACGCATGCGGACTTATGCTCAATTACTTAAAACCTTACGTATGGAAGCTTGCGGGAGCTAACGTAAATTTGCGAAATCCCCTATGGCATTCGTATTGTAAAATCGTGGTAAATGTCCGTTTATTCGATGATCATTCAATTCATTTCGTTAGCGTTTTTAAACTAAGTTTTTGCGCAAAACCTCTTTCTTTTGTTGACGTAGGTTTGCACTTGCGTAGGTATAATTCTCAGAAACTGACGCAAGAGCACTTCAAGTGCGCAATCTCAGTTATTTCAAAATCATACGTACAAGAGCAAACGAAATAGTATGTGCGAAATAAGCAACGGAATAATACGCAAAATCAATCTAATATACACCGAAGAGCCATTACATTATGACCACCCTGCTAATAACATGTAGGATCACCTTTAGCCCTCAAAACTGCTAGCACCCGCCGTGACATTGATTCCACAAGATGCTGATATGTAGTCTGAGGTATATGGTACCACGCGCTCACCAACTGGTCCTACAATCCCCTCACATTGCGAAGAGTAGCGTGGCAGCATGAATTTGGTTTTCCAAGTAGGACCACAAATGCTCTATTGGATTAAGGTCAGGTGAATTTGGGGGCCAAGACATGACTTGAAAGTCAGTGGAATGTTCCTCGAACCAATCCATGACGATTGGACCCTTATGACCCGGGGCATTATCCTGTTGGTAAACACCATCCCCCGCAGGAAAAACTGTTGCCCTGAACAGGTGAACCTAGTCTGAAACTTTGTTCAAGTAGCTTACAGACGTCAGGGTTTGTTCTATGAGGATTATGGGTCCTAATGTGCCCCGTGAAAACATTGATTCTGGGTGAGAAACCATGAAAACCTGGACGAGCCCATTGTTATAGATGGAGCGGGGTCATAATGTAATGGCTCTTCGATGTATATAAAGTCATATACTTTTTTGGAAGCACATATACGCGTGTTTGATTTAGTTTGCAATATTTCAATTGCTTATATCCGTCATAAATATGTAGTGTAAAGCATACAGTTTTCAGAAAATTAAAAATAATTGAACTATGCTTAATTATTTCATAAAACCCTAACTTTGAAGTGAATAATTATAATGAACTTACTTTGCTTCATTTTCTTGGCCATAGTTGTAAAATTCTCCATCTGACGTTAATTTTCTGTCAAACTGAGTTAGCCATGTTCCTTTGAAATATATGGCATTTAATATCAGCAGTAGTGTTGATTTATCCAAATTAGTCAAAATTTTATCAATTTTGCCATGTGTTTGTTGATTTACCCAGTCATTAACCTCTTTAATTACTTGATCAGTATTATCAGCAAAGTCAACCTCCTCAATATATGCGTGAAAGAAATGTTTAACTTCTTTTTTATAATCAGGATTTACTTCAAAATGTTCTGATATTAATAATTCATTTGCCAGATTCAAGGTATATGCGTCGTCATCAGGTTTATTTCTGTGTAATACTTTGTTCAGGTACTGATTAAAAGCGCAGGGGACCTTCTTACTTGATAAATGAGCTGCGTTGTAGCCTAGTGCACATCTGAGTTGCTGAAAAAAAATTTCAATCATGTCAAATACTTGAGAAAACTGTCAGAACAACTAAAAAACGAAATGAAATCCCTCTAATGTTGTTGTCGTCGGCCATTAAGGCAGACACTATTGTTCCTGTTTTCCAGTACTATTGTTCCTGTTATTATTGTATTGTTATTGTCCTGTCCAGAGGGGTTACTATTGTTCCTGTTTTCCAGTGGCTCCATCTATTGCCAAGAATTCAATTTATGCGACACCTATACGTCGCACCCGTTTTAAGGGCTGACCCATTCATACATTAATTAATTCATCCACAGATCGTAATTTTGATCTGAACTCGAAAACGATCAATCTCCATTTCAGTGCCCTCAGAGGTGAAATCCTACTTATAATTTAAAAATATATAAATTTTTAATTTAATTTAATGATTTTTATTGATTGAAACTTACTTTAATGATTCAGAAATATCTGAATCATTAAACATGCTGCAAGCTTAGTTATTAGTATGCATTCAAAAATGTCGCGATACAATAGTTGAAAAGTAACATTTTAAATGAAGAAAGGTATAACTCTTTCCTTTGCGTGTATAAAACTAAATTACGTAAAAAATGTGAAATTATATCACATTATCGTGCACACTAGTTTTGGTTCCACTAGGAAGATTTTGCCTCAGTGACGAAACGCAGAATGATTTCATGCTTGGGTAACAAGACTGTTGCTCTTTTCTCCGATTTTTGTAAAGATGTTTTTTTTGGTCGTATGCCTGTTTAGGCAGTGGGGGTGCAATTGTTCCTGTTTTTCAGTGGCGCCATCTATGGTCAGGAATTCGACTTCTGCAACGCCATTCACACAACCACAACCTGTTTATAGGGTGAGTCACATTCACACACAAAAGAGAAAGCACATAGAACACACAGAAAGAGAAAGAAACATCCATGCCTTGCCCGGGATTCGAACCCAGGACCTTTCTGATGCAAGGACAGTTCCCTGTCCCCTACACAGACCGGTCGGCGTAAAGATGGTTATAATAGATTAATAAAAACTTCGATAAATTCGAGCCTTATTTTTAAAGACAGAATAAGTTACTTTGGTTTATTAATTTTTAATCGAAAAATTTACCTAAGATGGTTTTATGCAACATTTTAGTTTATTTAGTTCAGTAGTACTATCTGTAGAAAGAAACAATAATGTCTCTTTCAAAATACAAAAAGACTTTTAGTTTTTAAATATTTCAAGGTTAATATTTTCAGAATGATGTTGAAGTAGATGAAAATGTTTTAACATTTTCCTATCCTAAATGTTTTGATATTAAAAAAGAATCAGAGTCATTAGTGAGTGATATTAGGAGTATTTTCTTTGCGTGATGAAAGCCAACTGAACAAGAGAGAAGTTTTTTATACATATAATCTACATTAACCTTAATCATGCCATATTAATTATAATGTTTTAGTCTTACCTAAGATTAAGATTCTTAGACCCACCCATGAGGGCACACAGAGATTTAATCTAACTTAAAAGTAATTTCTGAACAACTTGTTATCTGTGGGAAATCAATATATAAAAAATGAAAAAAAAAGATACAATTATCAGCCAAAATCTTAAACAAAAGGGACATATGTTCTATGTTAGCAAGTGAAACAATCGCACCTATTTTAGCTGAACTACATTACACTTAATATGGAAAAAAATGATTAAAGAAATTGCACTGTAGGCCAGAAGACCATGATCTTTGGCCATAAGTCAAAAATTAAATTTTCAACAAAAATATTTGTAGGCAGTTTTAATATAGCCCAAATTAAGTATTTATAATCATTCCAAACATTATAATTTACTTTTTGGACAGACGAGAGTACAATGTAATGAAAAATATGTTTAAAAAAAGTTTTTTTAATGTAACTTTTAAATTTTTATTTCAGAAATATATTTAGGAATTTCACCTTACTGTTACATTCTTATCAGAGTAATTAGTCTGAAATTATAGTACAATTTTTCAATTTGTTGGATTATTTAATACTCTTGACA